GGGGGATTGGGAGCAGGATGTGGGTGTTTATCTTGTTTGCAAAATTACAAGATACTGTTTATCTGGAACAAAAGAAGCAGCTATTGTCCGGGTTCACAGGGTGAGATGAAAATTATTGTACAGTCAACAAATTTTCATATCAGCAAGGTCGTGAGAGATCGAGAAAATAAGCACTACATCATTTTGTGCTGCAGAAGGCAGTTTGATAATTTGCGCAGTTAAAGTGAAAAACAACAACATAACGTGCACTGTCAACTTTCTGCTGACGAGTGCTCTTTGTCCAAAGCTGAGTTAAGAAAGTAATTATGTATTGCATCGTTTTGTGTCGTGGAACGTTGTTTGAGAATCTGTGCAGTTACAGGGAAAAACAAAATGTTTACTAACATAATTCTGCTGACGCATTTTAAAAAAACTTTTGTTGTGTTGTCTTAGGTAGAATTTGAAACTCGCAACTATAAACCACATCTGTATTTGCGTTATATTAAGTCTGTATTTGTGTCTGTTTGTTGAAGTATGTTTTGATTAGAGTCTAATATGTACAAAGCCGCTTGTAAAATTGAAAACCAAGGTTGTAAAAAATAGAATCTGCTGGTTGTTAAAACTAGATATTCACAAAGAGAAATGGATCACATCCAACACTGAGAGTGTAACAACCAACATAACAACTTGCTAAAAAATATATTGGCATGACGAAAATATAAAACTATATCCAGCATCTTATATCACAGCTATGCTTGGGTAGGCGTGTACAAAATGTGCTTTTAAAGAAGCCGGCCAAGTTTGTAAAAAAGGATAAGTTGGTCATTACAAGCAAATTTACACACAAAAATAGAGGAGGGTGTAACAACCAACATGACAATATACTAAATAATTTTGGATAACAAAAATGGAAGGCAGTTTCGAGCATATCAGATCACAACAAAGCTTGTATAGAGCAAAGTTCCTTGTAAAATTGCAGAGCAAGGTCGTAAAAACAAGTATCGTAGTATGTAGGTTGTTACAACTAGATATACATTATAAAATAGATGGATATTTCCAGCATTGAGTCTGTAAGAACCAACCTCACAACTTACTCAAGATTTTTTATAACAAAAATGGAAGGTTTTTTCCAACATCTCAGATCAGAACTTGACCTTGTTAGAGTCTAATATGTAAAAAGTTGCTTGAGAAAGAGCAGTTCAAAGTTGTTAAAAAGTGTTTCTGACTGTTCTATTGTGTGCTGGGGTAATATATGGTGTAAAACGCATAGAGCTTGCTGTAGAGCGGGGTTATGCTCTATACCCATGCTATTTATATATTATTTATTATTATCAGAAAGTTATTATTATTACCATTTCTAACCACGTGGTCTTAGTAACTCAAAACGGCCAACAGTGTGAGACAAGTTTGTAATTCTAAGGTAGCAAAAGATGACGACAGTGCTTCTGTCTATATCATTAGTTCCATCAATGTGTTTTGCAATCAATTGTTTTTTTATTTCCATGGGAAGGGGCGCTCCGTTAGCTCAGCTGGTATAATGCTGGACTATCGAACGGATGGTCCTGATTCGAATCATATGCTGGATATTCTTGATCTCGGGTTGTTTGGTGGATTTTTAAGGTTCTCACTATCAATTCATTTGGCTCAGTCATATCGGAGACAAAGGTTAAATTCCGAGGTTCCTCCTCTCAAATGGTCACTTATACTCACACTTTTTTTTCTGTGGGAGGCTATATTCTACATTAATTGCTACTTTCAATGCCGTGTAGGCTTGTGCTATTTGTCATTATGTTTAGTCGAGGGACTAAATAGATGTCAGATCCACTTCCCAATTTAGCTTCTCGTGTATGTGTATATTATATAGCGTGTGTGTGTGCGCGCGCGTGTGCGTCATAGTGTGTGTGTGTGTGTGTGTGT